GTATCTGTCCCGGTCTGTGACGGTTTCTGAGGTATCTGTCACGGTCTGTGATGGTTTCTAGAGACTCCATACATCATAATACAGACTGTAATAGAGAAGCTCCAGAGACCACCAGTGACAGTAATAGACGAATTCCAGAAAAGAAGTTTCATCGTGTTTCACACTTTTAATCCCAAACGGATTGCGCTAACAGCTTTTTTATCTGTATCCGTTTTTGCTGACTGATCCAGCCACTCAAACAAAATAACCCTCGGCATCTCTGATATGAACGACTACTATTCTAATATATGTCCAACAGTATCGGTATAGCAGTGGTAGCCTTAGTATACGAGTATCGAAATTTGTAATATTAGAATGCAATATAGAAGGTTCTAGGAATAAAAATGGAAGTATAAAGGTTAAATGAATAGAAATGAACTTTTACGCAGTGGCTCATTTCTTTTAAAGATGCTTGAAAGGCCCTGATAGATTCCTACAAATCCATACTAGACTACTAAAACATACAGTCTAGATTGCATTCTCGAACTGCTACCTTGCCTTGTTAGTGATAAAATGCATGAAAAGCTAATTTTTCCAGTCTTGCTTTTCTTCGCTGACTAGAAATCCATGAAATACGTTCTGTCCTATCGAAAGCTCTATTCTAACCTCTTAATTTGTTTAATGAGCTAGCTAAACCATATGTACACATTAAATGTGGACTAAATAAAGGTATATTCTTTTATTAGTGAACACAACGAATTGTATCAGATTATATGTGAAGCAGCATAAAAAAGTATTATATTTTGCACTTGTAACAAAGTCGAATCAGTCATGTTGGTTATACTTATTCTTGGATGGCCGTGTTTTTTCCGAATACTAATCGATTAAAGGTTTCATCGCACACTGCGAAAGTTATATCCTATATTAGATATTGTGTGCAATATTCCATTTTAATCTGAATAGAAGCAACGCAATCTGCTATCTTTGTTGGAGATGATATTGCTCCTCACCAGTAAATAGCGGGTTACAGCCAAACAAATGTTTTTATATTTGCTGTATCTTTTTTTAAATGACAGACAAGCGCATCATTATTTATTTTCGTTCTTAGGCACGCCGACCAGTTGCATATCGTGTTTTTCTTGGACGCTTCGTAGGAAGAAACATAGAGAGAGTAAGGTTCGACATTATTTTAACTACCACTACGTTATTACAGTGACGATAAAGAATACTGCAATCATGGGATTTCAAACTGTTGATATCATTATGTCAAGTTTGTTGTGTGCAATAAAATGGAATGATATAGTCGGTAAGATAAAAGATTATTTCTCTTACGTCTATCTTGTTCTCGCTGCTGTGCTACTTGTGTTGACAATAGACGACTGATTTATCGTGTTGCCGATATAACCATTATTGCACAAATCAGAAGCTATTTAGAATGTATAAAAAGTAGACTTTACAATTCGATCATTGACTCGTCATCAAGAATGTTCTTGACAACCTCAAGTATCGAGACTACTGAAAACTACTCGAAAGCTTAGATAGAAATTCTTTTAGTTTATCGGAAAATTGAGTTGAAATACCACAAAAATTTCACCTTTTAAATGTGAATCTAACAGAAAGTAAGCCAAATATCGAATCAGCTCTTACTTTCTCAATTATTTCTGTCATGAAGTCGTACGTTGATGAAACACAATTAGCAACGTGTCATATAAGTAACATACAATTAATATTTATAACTCATTTCCTACTTTTACCAGCAGCAACAAACACATATTAGGTTTTGTAGGAGATTTTTCATATGAAAATAAACATTCGAGTACACTAGGGTGTGGTTGTGGAATGATGATGCATGGCAGACCCACACCCACATCACCCACACTTTGAAGAAAATAATAATAAATCAACTGTATACTTTTGTCTTCGTATAACACGAATCTCTACCCCAGGAGAATCTTCCGACCGTCTGAAACGGCGCCTTAAAAGGCAGAAAACGGCTAGAAAACGGTGAAATAAGGCGTCGTTTTTTACCTTATTTCGCCGGAATCCGTCAGCTCGCTTTGAGGGCCGTTTTTTTAATAGAAAACGGCCATCGTTTTTCTCCGGTTTTGACATCGTAATCCGGCCTGACGGATTACGGCGCGTTTTTTAACGTTTTACACCGTTATTGCGACGTTTAAGGCCGTTTACGGACCGTTTTCTTTCACCTGGGACATCAGCAATCATAATCATAATACAAATGGTCAAGATGGAAGTTCGTTTAGAATTAAATAAATTAAACACTATGAATATCAGCGAAAATTGTCAATAGAAAATATCCTTCAGCTGTTGTTGCATTTTCGGGAAAGTCATGTTGAATTTACATGAATTCTGTGCAAATTTTGTCTTAGAAGAGTCTTATATTATTTGTAATAGTCAATTATCTTGAAAACAAAAAATTATAGAACTTCTTTATTAGGCATGTTTTGATTTTACTATTGTGCAGGTTGACGATAAGGTCGACATATCCGAGTAACGCTTTCAGCTGAACAAAATAAGATAAAACCTAGTAAGTGGAATATATTTATGCCAGAATTTATTCGTTCATATATACCTTGTTTGGGATAAATTGCTTCCCCACACTGAGATATTATAATGCGAAGAAACCAGTAAATCGATAAAAAATATGCATTTTCACAATGAAAGAAAAATGATTCGTTTCATGAAGGTTATACTATTTTTTATGTAGAAACATCTCGTCGAAAGCTGCAAAAGTGCAACTGATAGATTGGGTTGTTCTTCTGTGGTCATTTTTACGAGCAACTTTTTTCACATTAATTATGCTCCAACTTTGCAGTTATCAATAAGTATTTTAAAAAGAATTTTATGTGAATATGATATTTCCTGTTCGATTAAAAGATACGTGTGTTTTCAAGCAAGTAATATTCAATTTGTAGGCATTACAATAAGAATGATATTCATTGATGGAAAATATATTATATAACTGCAATAAAACAACCGTACTCTTAATTGGTGCCTCGATAATGGATTAAATCTTGACGAACAATCAGGCTTTACCGCTAATCGCAGGCTACAAACTTGAATACTCTCTCTGATTGAAGATATACGGCTAACAGTGGCGGCACCAAACCGTCCGGTGTCAGCAATCTTCATCGATTTTCTTACGGCATTTGACCGTCTATGGTATCCAGCACTCTTCAAAACATTTAATGATCTTGACATGCCTCTAGATTTACGTCGATGGATCTATGGTTGGTTGCAAAACCGATCGATGACAATCAGTCACGGAGATGCGGAGTCCAGGGTTACTGGAATCTTTCTAGGTGCACCACAGGGATCTGTGCTTGCAGCTTTGTTATTTCGAATCCACATACACTTTTTACCTGGGTATTTCATTCAGATTGTGTCTCATTTATTCGCGGATGATTTAACTATAGTTATTAAAGGAGCACTTGAAAGGAGGCTATCGGATAATATAAAATATCTAGAAAAACAGACAGAAGAGATCTTAAAATCACTTGAAAAATTTGCCGATGACTATATTTTGCCTGTGAACGTCTCGAAGACAAAGGCCATGGTAATTCATAGTGCAGTAGTGACAGAGAAACCAAAAATAGAATATAAAAATGTACAAATTAAATATGTAAAATCATTTAAATATTTGGGAATTGAGATTGGGACAAAACTAGGTTGGGGAAATTTCGTAAATAATAGATTAAAGAAAGTAAGAAATATTTATGCTGGGTTAAAGAAAATGCTTAAAGCAATTCCAAAAGATGAAATAAAAATACGTAAAAGACTCTTCTGTGCATATGCACTGCCTCATTTTATCTGGTTGTTCGCAACGTGGTTCTTCTATACTGAAAAACAAAAGGCAACCATTGAGCACGTATATGGGACAGGGATAAGAATTATATATAATATGTGGGGATGGGACGATTTAACTACCCTAGCTATAACTCAAGAATTTTCATTAAGGGATTATATTTATAAGTACTGGGTAAAATTTGAAAAACATCTAGAGCAGTCATTAGAAGCGGTCTTATACCAACAAACATGGACAGCGTTTCTGTTATGTCAGGAGATCTCTCTCCTGCCATAAGTATGTTCTCTCTTCTTCTCTCGGTTTCATTCTATCACGTTTACAATCATTCCATTCTTCTTCTCTTATCTATTCTATTTAAGTGAGTGTTAATGTTAAAAGAAAGGGGGATTATTTGTGGATGAGAATATAATAATAAGAAGAAGGCGAAATAAAGAGAAAGAAGATTGTAACAGTTTCTAATAGCTACCTGTCCATCAAAAATTTATTATAAAAGCTGCGGTTTTCGAAAGAATGCTAAATTTCCTCAAAGATTATCAGAAAAAGCAAGGCATACGAAGCTTGACCTACTCATGTTTTTCAACGTTCAGAGAAAACAATTATACATTTACAAATATTCCTCATCTATTTTAGAGTGGTTTATCCTAAAATATTTTCCTAAACCACCCTAATAAAATGGAACTATAATATTAATTCAAAAATTATAAATGTGATGTTTCGTCGTATAAATTGTATAACATGTATCTTCCACTCTATCGTTCATTATTATTATAAAATAGACCTTAACGTTTCGCATACTCTAAATGTGCTGTTATTCTCTTTCTTAGTGAATGTATAATCTATAATAGATATTTATGTGACTTGTATTCTAAAAATCAAATCAAATGTATCTTGTAAAATTTCTACTAAATATTTTTGTAACTCATTGTGTGTATAATTTGTTAACCTTTAAAGGAACAAATAAAATCTTGAATCTCAAAAAAAAATCTTGAGATATCGTTACATAACAACGATATTCAAAATTGTTTTATTACTGTTGTATCAATATCTAAGAAGTAGACAAGTTTTGTTGAGTATGTAATAAAATTAATCACCAGTCATAAAATATCATAAAATCGATTATTCTCTTAGTTACCAAATGATATATAAGGTCGTGCTTGACAATTCTTGCCGAATTCAATTTTAATACTGTTATTAAAGAATGTTATCAGCATTCTTCTTCACCGCGTTTATTTTATGTTTGTCAAACACTTTACCATTGTCTGACTTTTTCCCGTTTGGAGAACAGATAGGTGATTCCATTGTGCGACCGAACGATGACGAAGCTGAAGGGCCTTTTACTTTGCCTCACATTTTCCCCTATTTCGATAATAATCATCGTCAAATTTGGATAGCCAATAATGGTCTTTTCTCGTTTCTCTCAGCGATTCATACGTTTGTACCAGATCCTTTTCCACTAGCAGATGATCAACGTCTTATAACTGGCTTTTGGTCTGACATCGATACGCGAGGTTTAGTTAATGGTACTGGGAACCGGGTTTATTATCATATTTACAGCGATACATTTCTATCGAACATTACATTATCAATATTTATGAAAGTCAGGGATTATGTACAAAGATTCTTTTCTCAACAACGACTGTTTGAACCAACAATGGTGATCACAGGCACTTGGGATCGTGTCGGCGCTTACGCTAATCAGATAGATAAATTGAATACATTTCAAATTGTATTAGCTACTGATAGTGAACGAAGTTTTGTTTTCCTTCTTTATCACGATTTGCAATGGGCTGGACCTTCATATACCTCAGAACCCTATGCGCAAGCAGGTTTCAATGGAGGTGATGGCATTTCTTTTGAAATGCTTCCCCATTCACGTACGAAAGATATAGTACACCTGGTGAATGAAAGCAATGTTAATATGCCTGGCCTATTTGTTTTTCGTGTAGACACAGACGAGATTGATGCTGGTGGTTGTAGCAGTAATATATCTGTTGTTACTCTACGTCCACGCATTAGCTCTCAACTAGGATCTACGGCATTAAATATTCAAGGACCTTGTTTTAGCAATTCGACTACAATCAAGTGCCGATTTGGTTCATCACCAGAAGTCGTCGACGGGATAATAATTGATACATTTCGAGCGATATGTTTGACACCTTTTGCTCCCATACATGGATCAGTACCAGTCAGCGTATCGATTGACAATGGTGTTTCTTACATGCCAGTTAGCAGTTTTACCTATGCTCCGTTGCAATTTGGTTCAGATGATGTCATCATTGATACAAGAAATCAAGACTATCTACTCAATGTTGTACAATATATTAATCTCACGTGGCATTTTTCAGAATCAACACGAAATACCTTTCCCAATGGGACTTCCATCGAAATACAACTAGTCGAAGTAAGCCTTAATAATCGCTCTCAATTACAACAAGAAAATTCACCTATGATACTTATTCAAGATATAATGCCCGATGTTACCTCGCTTCGTCTCCTTGTACCAGAAAGTATTGCATATATTAAAGCATGCTTCATCCGTGTTGTAGCTTGTTTCAAGAACAAAACATATGCTGGGCTCAATACAGGCATATTAGCTGTGCGCAGTCTACCTGCATTCGCAACTACATCTTGTGTCGAATGGTCTCAAGGACAACCTGAACCATCTGCATGGAATGGTGGTATCCTTCCATGTCCAATGACGCGTACACAAGCAGTTGCAGCCGGCCGTTGTTGTTATGAATCTGATAGTCAATGTTATAGAAATAACCTGAATCAAAATAATTGTTGGCTTCATAGAGCTCGTTCTGAGCTTAATGAAAGTTCGGCTGTTGAATGCTATTTGTCGAAAAGTTCGAATATTTATGGTGCCGGGGCCGAATGTTGCTATGATTTTGAAGGACAACTAATAACACGCGGAACTGGCTCAGGTACAGATGACCGATATCGACCAATCGCATTAGCAGTGCAACATTTTTTTGATGATACATTACCATATCTACAATGTTGTATGTTCAGTAATAATGCTGAAAATTGTCAGTTATATATGCATTATCGACCACCACGACGAGGTAGTAATACAATGGGTGAAAGTGGTGGAACGTGGGGTGATCCGCATTTCATTACACTAGATGGAACATCTTATACATTCAACGGTTATGGAGAGTATACTTATTTGGCCATTAGTAATGACCCAAGATCATCAGAAACGTTTCAACCGTCGATCCAATCTCATGTCTTTGTATCACAAATTCGTACTATGCCACTTGAGTCAACTAATGTTACTGTTACAAAAGGTTTTGCAGCTCAATCATCGCATCCTGAAAGTCAACCAATAAGTATCACTGTTTCTCGTCGTGAAAATCTTGTCATGCGTCGTGGAAATGAAGTTCTTGAGTTCGAAGACAACATTCATATGCTATTTTTTCCTGAAATGACCATCGAACGAAATCCAACCGATAGTAATACTATCATTCTTTCGTGGACTATAGGTGTAACTGTTCAGATAAAACTCGTTTTAACGATATCACCTTCGACAGCACTCGTGCTTAATGTAGCAGCGTCTGTAGCTGAAACGTTTCGTGGACGAACATATGGCCTGTTAGGTACTTATGATGGTAATTCCACAAATGATTTACGATCTTCAAATGGAATAATAGTGAATTCTAATGCTTTACCAGAACAAATCCATCAACAGTTCGGTGTTACTTGGGCTATTCGCCCAAATGCTTCTGTATTTTACTATGACTTAGGTCAATCAGCCCAATTCTTCGAAGATCAAAATAGATTATTCGTTCCATCTTTTACCGAACCTACCAATACACCAACGCAAGATGAATCTGTTCGAGGTATATGCAAAATTGATCCGAATTCTTTATCATCTTCATGGAATATCGCTCAACGAACATGTTACTATGACATGTCAGTTACAAAAGATGAAACCTTTGCGCAAACATCTTTTAATATTAGTGATGAACTTTTATCGATTAAAGCTAATTTACGAAATCCACCTCTCTTTAATAGTGAACTTCCTGTCTACATGCAAGCGAAACATAATGAGCGAATTCATCTAATAATCGACGCAACCAGTAATGATTCCATGAGCAATATTGTTCTATCCGCTGATCATCTACCTCGTGATGCTACGTTTAACACACAAACAAAGGTATTTGAGTGGACAGCTATTGAAGGGGAAGACTCTGTTCGAATTCGAGCGAAGGATTTAGCTTTCAATTTAACAGCAACACACGAAATTGTCTTTCAAGTAAAGCAAATTAATAAGAATAATGCCGCTCATTCAGAGATGCAAGGTGTTTTCCTCCTCTTGGTCGCAATTCTTTGTATGCTTTCTAAATAACATAAAGAAAGCTTACATAGCGTCAATGGACAAACAACTATCACAAGAATAATAAGACAACTGATTTTTTATACAAAAGTCATTCAAGAATTTTTTGATATCTTGCTTTTCACAATGAAAACGAATACTCGTAGTAAAACAGGTACGATGGCATGTGGGTATGGGTATGGGTGTGAGGGTGGGTGTGAGGGTGTCGGTGTGGATTTTTCTTACTACAATCATATCCACCACCCACACCCTGACCACAAAAACGGAAGGAGTCACCTCTGGTGGTTCCCTCGTAAGTTATGTACAATCCCTACATAAAAATATTATCTTCTCTTTGTTTCTACACTATCATCCCTTACATCAAATTTATTATGTCGTAAAGATACGAAATAAGTTTTTTATTTATGTGTGATCTGCACTATTAAAATAAAACTCTTATTTCATATCTTTACGACGCAGTCAATTTCATGCAAAGTATGATAGTATAATAACAAAGTGGGGGAGACTTGCGTAGAGGATTTAACTATAGAGAATATGAATACTACCAATGGTGGATCGAAATCCTTACAAAAATGAGTACTATTCTCAGTCACACAAAGAATTGAGGATGTTGTCTACACGATTTTGAAGAACGTTCGTCTAGCCAACGATCGTTTTTTTTGTAGTAAAGGGTGTGTGCGGTGTGGGTGTGAGCGTGGATATGAAACTATGCGCCACTCACACCCACACCCTCCTCGCATGTAGCATTCATTCATCACAATTATAAGATGATTCTCGAATGAAATTCTATATCGAATAAAAAGACTCATAAAATTTGAACATCGAATATAACTCGTCAGATGAAAACATTTCGAGTTCAAATCAGAAAGACTCTAAAAGAAAAGCAAACAACATAAATTTTAAAAATTATAGTTTTCTGTCTGCAACTGAAAAGCAAAACATAACAAATTTTATTCTCGTCTAGGTTGTTACTACGTTACTACCTGATCAGTTTTCAGCTATGAGATTTATTATTTCTTTTCGTATGAAAAAAAAGTTTTTTTTCTATTACTAACTTAAGATTCAAATAGAAGAGAAAACGAATTTTTTGTGAAAGTTAACGAGAGTGAATCCTCTAGATTAATTCTCTCAAAATATCTCAAAAGCAGCTAAGTTCAGTAATGAAAATGTTTGAATCATTATTTTTCACGAGAAGAAATTTCCTTTTCTCTTAATAATTGCGACTGGAAATCTTATAATCAAATTTTTATTTTGAGATTGAGAAATTAGAGTTCTTTTGTATTTCTAAATTCAAGATCGAATATAATCAATGATTTTTCTCTAATCAGAATTTCAGTCGCTCAATTTAATTAAACAGTTTTTCTTTCCATTATCAATCGCACTTTCATATTGATAAAGTAAATTGTTTATTTGAATGAATATATGATTATCAATGATTTTCCTTGATGAACATCCTAATTAGACGAAAAAGACTTTCTTCTAAATGCTCTAAAATCTATTTAAAATATTCTTTTTTCTCTCAGTGAGCGTTAACAAAACAAAAAGGTTCACATAAGAAGATCAGAAAAAATGTAGAACTAGGTGAAAACAATCACTTAAGAAACCGTAGTGTTTTTCTCAACATGGAACTGTAAGTGAGATAAGAAGTTCTAAAATTTTTTTGTTAATGCAGTTCACGACAACATTTGACAGTACATTGAATAATAAATTCTTGAATTCTGAACATTGTCGAGTATTACTTGCTCCAATGTACTTGCAGTAGCGAACCCTTCTAATATGATGTTTTCTTTTACGATCTTTCTATTTTAACGAATTTCGATCAGTAGTTTCTCTACAGGATTCTCGTATATTCTCAGCAGATGAAGTGCTTTATTTCTTACGTTAATCACTGAGTTATACAATATAGAGAGAATAATCACAAGTCAAATCTATTTAATTTTTGACTTTCATTTTGGCATGTCAACGTGATTTTCATAATTTTGAAAGTCAATCAAAAAAGTCATTTTCACTTATTGATAAATGTTTCAGATTTTAACTGAATACCGGAGACAATAGATAGGAGTGTCGGTTATATTTTGAAATAGAATTCTATCTAGAATAGAGCATACTTATATTTCAAGTGAGTTGTTACCTATTCGGACTTGATCATATAAAGCTGAAGAAAATTCTAGGATAGAGAAATAGCGGATTCAACCATGTATCATTAAGACATTCTAATAGGAATCCTAACTCTATTGTCTGTTGTACAAAGAAATTGCCGATTATTCGAGTGAATACATAAGTAACTTGATGTCTGTTGAGACTTAAGTCCTTTCCGTGTAATATTCCTAAAGTTGAAACTCATTTTTCAACATAAAAAAAATGGCCTAATGAGTAGAGATGGATTGTACCCAGTCGCCTACCAAAATACATCAAGTACTACTGTTCGATTAGAATTCTTATAATATTCTTTAACTAGATAAAAGAGGAACCCATGGAGATAATAGGACACAACATACTTAAGATGAACTGAAAGACAATAAACCAATTCACCTATACGTGTTATGCTCGTGATTATCAACATCCAAAGTTGAGCATAGATTTAAAAAATTGGTAAAAACAATTATTCAAGAGTTGATTTTGTCACTATTAAAAAATTGATTACTGCGCTATTTGTTCAACGAGAATCCATTGAATTCAAACTATTTTTACACTTCTCACATAGAAGTGTTTCGAAATCATATGCATATTGACAAGTTTGGATCTTCGTCATCAATAGAAATTGAGCCTCATATTGTGTCAAGAATATGAGAAAAGACTTGCGCTTTCAAGACCTTTCACATGCAACTAAAAAAGAGACTTCTGTTATTCACGAAAAAGCTAATCAGTGCAGTTTTTTCATTTGTCACATATGAAACTCTATAAAAATGAAGAGTTTTTATATAATCGAAATATCATTCACACTGAAAACGAAGAGTCGCTAATTCAACTTTAAATGATTAATGATAATTTGACGCTCAAGTTTTGATTCGAAAATATTAAAGAAATAGTTTTCCATCGTATTTTAGTTTATAATTTGAGAAAGAAAACGTTTTGACCGACAAAAAACTGGCGTATTTTACATTAAAAATGAATTTTCCAATGAACAACTTTTGCCTGATTTTCGAATTTCAGTTTCAAGCAAAAAAAGAATCAAACTTTTATTCTATATTTCTTAAAAGGATATTTTCCCGATTTCCCACAGTCATTTGTTTTAAGTTTCAGAATGGATTGAATTTTCAATCGTGTTTAAAAATAATTCAATCAATAAGAACATTATGAAATATTTTTATCGTTAAAAAAGAAATCTGGAAATGGGATCTTTTTATCAACTCATTTTATATGCCATGTCTCAACTCATAATCAAATCCTGAAGTAAAGAAATAAAGCAATGAGTCGACATAAGGAAAAAGAATTTTTCTTCAACTATATTCAAAATATTTCTTTGATTTCTTTTGATAATGGTGACTGTTTTTTCAAACTGATTTTATTTTCTTGATAAAAACTTATTGAATCAGATTATATCATAGAATTTTCTTTTTTCATTATTTTTAAAAGTTAAAACTCTTTTTCTTTCTAAAAATATTCGTTTCTCTCTAACAGAAGTCAAATAATATCATTTTAATGAAAATCAATATGTTTATATTGTGTTCAATCTTAAATTTCTTTGCCTTTATTCTTCAAGGCATTTTTTATTTCTGAGGATAAAAACTTTCTTTGTGCAATTCAATGTCATTTCTTAGAAGAAACTCAAGAATAGAACGACAACAAAGAACTAGTTTAACCGTTAATCATATTTATTTTTATGTTCTTTCATCGATCAACATCTTACGATTAAGAACAATGCGATAAATGTTGTTAATTGGTCTCCTGTTTTTATTCTTTATTTTTTAAAATCACGTTAAACATCGTGTTTCAATAAAATTCAATAGTAGATCATTTGGAAAGGATATTTTCACATCACTGTTGTTTTCCTGAGGTTTGCATTATTATATTTCGAATTGCAATTTAAGATGATTGATTGTCATTCGAAAATCTTTTATGGATCAATATCTTTACACTCAATATTCTTTTACAAAAATGTAGAGAGTCTTATATTTTCAGCTTCATCGATCAGATCAATGATAAATATTTTGTATTGTGAACTTTTTAATTTATTAAAGGATAAAGTCTCTTTATATTATGTGATTTATTTAAAAATTCTCTTGAAGATTCTCTATTTTACTATTTTTAGCCTTCAAATATAAACAAATCTAACGAAAAAAATATTTTGATTATTCTATGTGAATAATGAAATTCAGCTGAAGTAAAGCACAAAAATACGTGCATAACTGATGTTATGGATTAAGAACCTGTATTAATCGAAATATTTGAATGCAATCATTTAAATTTCCGAGAAACATTCAAAACTAGTGGCGTAACCAGGGTAGGGCATGGTTGGGCTCAGCCCAACCACCGGTTTGTAAGAACATATTTTTTCTTCTTTTGCTATAAAAGCGGGGTAAAATTCTCTCGTATTTTCAATCTCTTTGCCGAATCTTTAATTTAGCAGAAGTTTTGACCGAGCATAGCATGTTGATAAGAGAACTTCAAACGGTTCATCTGTAACATTTAAACTGTTTCTCTAATTGATGTGTCTTTAGTCAGATTTGTAAACTTAAGTTCCCGTTAGATTTTAAAAGTCGATCGATTTACTCATGACTCTCGTTGTGTTGCAGGCTGCTCGAAAATGCTTTGATAATAAATTTTGAAAATTGCAAGACAATTGTATCTGAATGAGCAGCTCAAAATTTGTCATAGACTGCAACTTCCCAAACTTATCATTGAGAAAAACATAAATGTAAATAAGATCATAAATGACTGTCAATATTTCTGCGCAAAACTCTTTATATTACACCAAGGATTAAATCGAGTTGAATCGCATATTTGTTTTTCGTTTCTCTGAATAATATCATTCTTTGAACTGAAGCTAAACAATATCGAATTTTGTAGGA